CCAAAACAGAGTAGCTTAAAATTTACCAGGGTTTATTATCCTGCCCCTTTCCTGTGGGTAATATTCAAGGCCAGAATTGGAAGGCTGACTGATATGGAAAGCTCTCCCTCATTCACAATTAATTGCTGAATTTCTTGGTCACAGCCCTCAGTTCCTGTCCATGGTTAACTCCCCTTGGGTGACTGTCCAGTAGAAGATGACTTAGCCAGGAATGAATGATACAAGAGAGAGGAGAGCAAGCAGGAAACTCCAGTGTCTTTTCCTCTGTAGCCACACACTATAGATTCTGCTTTGTCTCTTTAGTAGAAGTGAATTTATCAAGCCATGTGATAGTAGGAGCAAATGTGACTCCATTTTGTTTAATGACTTCATCCTGTAAAACAACCATGACAAGTAGAAGAGTCATGACTGGAGCAAGATGTTCTTTTCCTTTTGCTATAGAAACCTTTAAGAACACGGAACTACCTAATGGGGTATTGTTTCTGTAACTAGGGTACCGGGGTTCTGTTTCTGTAACTGGGGTGACTGGGCTAACTTTGATTGGTTAGGCTTCCCTCCACTTGATTGCACTGTCCCACTTCTGTAACCTGGCTTGCTTGCATTGGCCAGACCCCTGAACATCCCTTTTGCAGTTTTCAGGCTTACAAGGAGTGCCCTTACAATTGTTCGGGGCTGATCAGGGGAACAGCTTTATGTTCTGGTCAGCTGCCACCGGTGTGCTTCAATAAAGGCTTGATTTGATTATACGTGAGTGGTCTAGAAGTCAGTTTATGAAACCCTGGGACAAAGCTTTAACTGTAACAGCCACATTCATGGGGAAGTGAACTAGGTTCCCTTTTTGAGTATCAAACAACCTGTGTTCAGATGAAAACCACCATAGTCACTCTTCTGACCACATATTCTTTCCACATGCCCAACAAACTGCTTTCTATCCAAGGCCTCCAAAGTCTCATTTCATCACTTAACCAGTGTAAACTCCAGAGTCTCATCATCTGAATCAGGTCCAGGTAGAGATGAGGCTTCTTGAATTAATTGATGTAAGTGCAGCTCTCTACACACATTTCACAGAAATCCATCCTGTGAACTAAAGAGAAGACCTGTGTACACCTGACAAACCTAATATAGTGGTGGGGGAATAGAGGCTGGTCCCAGGAAATCCTGGCTCTTTTTTGATATGAGAAGGATCCAGGGACTCAGAAATAGACAAAACCTATAAAATTTCTTTGGGCCACAATAACTCCTAAGGAAGTGACACCTGTGGAATTTTTTTTTTTTGTCCTAATACACCTTTCCTTGTCCCAGAGCTTTTCTGACATGGAACTTCCTAGATATGAGGTGTCCCCCAAAAGCTCATGCAAGACTTTAGGGGGCGATGTGATTAGCTTATGATAATTATAACATAATTAGTGGACTAATCTGGGTGATAATTGTAGTCAAGTAGAGTATGGGTGGAGGAGGTAGGTCACTGGGGCATGTGCCTTGAGGGTGTATATTTTGCCCCTAGTGAGTGGAGAGCTCCCCCGCCCCCAGATTCCTGATTGTCATGTCCTTGTCTGCTTTTCACCTCCACATTCTTCTGCCCTGGTGTCTGTCTCACCATAGGCCCAAAACATGGAGTAAGTTATCTATGGAATAGGACCTATGAACCTGGAGCCCCTCTCTTATTTTATTCTTATTAGGTCTTTTGGTCACAGTGACTCAAAGCAGACTAAATCACTTTCCAATTTTGAATCAATAAGTTTTGGAATGCCCCCCCTCAATGAATTGGGAATACAGTTTTTCTGCTTAGAGAAGGAAGCTGAAGGTCAGATCTCCCACCCTTACAAGGCTCTAAAGAAGTTGGGTACAGAGACGCCCACTCAGGCCTATCCAACTGCAAGATCACTCTGTCTGCATAGGGACATTTCCTGCCTGTGTCACTTCCATGCCTCTTCTTTTAAAATTAGGCTAATTTTCAGGAATTTTGGAGATAGGACTTATGAAACAATTAAGTTTCTCCTATATTCCTTCAAAGCTAGCTTTGAATAAAACCTATTTTCCTTCCAATTTGATTTCAAAATTTTCTGGAGCAGAGAGCATTATGATCTGGCTTCTTTCTTCCCAGGCAGTATTACAGCTGCCCAATAGCAACATGACAGTGAATATTTCTGCAACAATGAGAATTATAGCCTAACCTCTTCCTCCCCAGGCAGAACATAGTGCTGCCTGGTAACAATCTGGTCATTCTTGTATATGTTAATGGAGAGAGAGAGAAGGAGATGAAGAAGGAGGATCTCTTTATTATGCTGTGGGACAACAGTATTATTGGTTTTGGGATACACCTTTTTTCTTCCGTCTCCTCTCTTCTCCTCTCCTCTGTTATTTCCATATTAGCCTCAATTATCTTCCACAGACCCCCATCTCCAAACAAGCTTGCCTTGAACTTGCAATTCTCCTCCCTCTGCCTCCTGAGTAGCTGGCATTACAAGGTTGTATAACTAAGCCTGATGTTTTTGTCTTTTATGTCTCTTAAGTAAACTTCTGAATATGAGGAATTCATTTATAATAACTGACTCAATATTAAGTTAGTCTGTGTTATTTGCTTCTGCTGTGTTGTCTTTCCTTGTTTTCATTGCATACTTGGTAATTTTTTATTTGATGCCACACATTAATCACTCATAGGATTAAAGTCCCTTCTAAATACTCTGTCTGACGTCTGGCAAACAGTTAGGCTTTCTAGCATGGACAGTGGGAACAGACATTTTTTTCTGGCCCTGTATATCCCTGGGTACCATTATTTTCTCTTATCCTTGTCCTTGCATGGTGTTCTTATGTGTGTGTACTAATGAACTGAGGACAGGACAGGTGCCCTGTAGACCACCAATGCTATTAGTTTCAGCAATGTGACTTCATCTTGCATATTCTGCTGTTTGGCCTCTCCAAATACAGATCTCTGTTCCCTCAACTTCCTGAAGCTTCTGTGTAGGGCTCCTCCTCCCTGCACTGTGTTGGGAACTGAATCCAGGAAAGAAGATGGACAGTTTGCAGCCTCGCCTCTTTCATTCTCTTCCCCTCAGAGACTGCAATCTCTGTAATACTTGTCCGAATGTCTTTCTATCTTTTCATGTTTTTATGAATGTCTAGTGTTTCTTACTCTAGTATCAAAGCAAACATCAACAAACTGAATTTATAAAATGATTGCTGTAATTTTACTTTTTAAAAAAATATATTTTTTAGTTGTAATTGGACACAATACAATTACTTTATCTATTTGTTTTTATGTGGTGCTGAGGATGGAACCCAAGGCCTAGCACATGTGAGGTAAGTGGTCTACCACTGAGCCACAACCCCAGCCTCTAATTTTACTTTTTAATAACTAAATTTGAAAAATGACTAGGTCACTGTTAGTTTCCTACATCTTCAGGCATTTTGAAGGTTATCAGATTTTTCTTTATACATTAAACTGATTAAATATGTAATTTTCTGTTTCATAGTTGCACATAGATGTCTTATGAGCCACTTTCTACTATCTGTTCTTTCTTCTGGTTTCTCCTTCATCTTCTTGTTTCCTTTTGTACTGAATTGTGTATATTGTTTGACACGTTGGTTAAATGTGGATTCCTATAGAAATTGTTATTCCCTCCTTGAAAATTTGAGTCAATGCCAACCCAGGGCCTTCATAAAACAAAATCATGGCTTAAAGTTATTTAACCCAATTAGTAAAACCAATCAGGGCAACAAACTTGTAGGGGTCCAAGGTGGTGGTTACAAATTTTTCAAAATAGTAATGTTTCTTCCTTTTTAAAATTTTTTTTTTCTGGTTTGAGGTAAATTTTCTAAGAACTCTTGAGTGAGGGAAAACAGATTTTCATGTCTTGTTTAGAGGACATAAATCTTTTGTTTCCTAGATTTAATGGAAATCCAGAGTGACTCAAATTCAGACTATCTCTGAGGATCATTACCTGTGTACTTGTTGTGACTGAATGGTGAGTGTTACCAAAGCCCATGTGCCAGAGGGTTGATCTCTGGGTGGTGATACAGGGAGATGATGAAATCCGGGAGATGATGAAATCCTTGAGAAATGAGGTCTAGTGGGAAGACTTTTAAGATATTGTGGGCTGTGTCCTTGAAAGACATTGCCAGACACACTTCACCTTCTTTTTCTCCTGGTGAGGAAGTGAGTGGTTTTGGTCTGTCCAGTGCTCCCAACATGATGTGTGGCCCCACTACAGGTGTGAAGTGGCAGGACTAATCATGGACTTCACCTTATAAAACTGTGAGCCATAATAAACCTTTCCTTTTAATAGTGAATTATCTCAGGTATTTGGTTACACTGACAGTAAACCAACAGACACAGCACTATGACTTGTGAGTCTAAGAAAAAGCTAAGATTCCAGATTTGGCAAATGCTTTCAGTAGGAGTACTTTTCTCCATAAACTCCTGCCTCCATGTATATATTCAGTAAAATAATTACTATCTTACTTATACATCTCTTCATTGATGCTTTTTTCATTTTGTGTCTTTTTTTTGGGGGGGTGATTTTGCTGGAAGAGGAAGCCTTGGAACCATGTTATTGAAAACTAAATCAAAATGTACTGATTCCTTCCTGCTATTAACCTGACACCAGGGCCGATGCTGGAATGCTATTCTATCTATAGCAATGCTACTTATAAGTATACTATGTGCACTAGCAGTGGGTTGTGAAATGTTTGCTGTTATTCCACAATAAGACACATACAGAAAGTGAGAGTAAGGGGCTGGGGATGTGACTCAAGTGGTAGCAAGCTCACCTGGCATGCAAGGGGCGCTGGGTTCGAACCTCAGCACCACATAAAGATTTAAAAATAATAATAATAAAGATGTTGTGTCCACCGAAAACTAAAAAACTAAAAAAAAAAAAAAAATGTTAAATTATCTCTTTCTCTCTCAAAAAAAAAAAAAAAAGAAAGTGGGAGTAAGGATACCTCTACCACACCTTATTCACACCTTCCGCGCCCTGATCCTGGGGGAACTGGAAAAGGGGCAGAGTCAATTCCAGGCCCTCTGTTTTGTCACCCTACTGCACCACAGTGAGATCATCCCCAGTGAGGCCATGGCCAAGCTGCGGCAGAAAAACCCACGGGCAGTGAGGCAGGCTGAGGAGATGCAGGGCCTGGAACAGCTGCACATGGACATCGCTGTGAAGTTCAGCCAGGATGGCCTGCTGAGTCCCCATCTTCACAACGCATGCGCTGAGGCCGCAGATGCCTTTTACACCTACCAGGAGAATGTCCAGTTCTGGCTGGAACAAGATGTGGACAGCTTTGTCTTAGAGGCTCTACCTAAGGCATCTGAGCAGATGGAACTGCCTCGCTGCAGGCTGGTGGGGGACCATAGGAAGCCCTGCACCTGCTGCCATGGCCTGAGCCTAGCCTAATACCCCTGCAAGCTCAAGTACTACCACAGCTGTGAGCAGCCCACGCCCTACAAGTGTGGCATCCGAAGCTGCCAGAAGAACTACAGCTTTGACTTCTCTGTGCCCCAGAGGCAACTGTGTCTTTGGGATGAGGACCCCTAGCAGAGCTGCTCTGGGCCCTGCCACCAGAGGAGGTGACAACCCTACCTAAGGCCTTAAGTTCCCTTCCCCCACTCTGGCCCTGAAGCCTAGGCCTGCCTATGAAAAGGAGTGGGACAGCAGGGTCATTCATGAAGGCAGCCCCCTCCCACCCTGTGCCTTCCTTGGGGGCAGGAAGAGACAAAGCTAGTTCTCCAGACTTTCCCATTTCCCCTCCTCCTCTCCCCTGAAGTGTTCACTTTCAAGCAACCAAAATGTGACAGCCTAGAATTCAGCTCTTCAAAGGTTTAGATCCTAAAAGGAGACTCTGCCTATTAGCCCATCTCCCCACTTATGACTAGAAGGAGCTGGCCTTGCCAGCCTTCCTATTCCCCACCAATGAAAGGATTGCACCCCCAAAGGTGCTCTTGGGGACCCATGTCACAGCCCCTGTGCCAGATCCCATGCATTCTTCTTTCTGAAGAGGCCAGGCCAGGTGTGGGGCTGAGCAGATGCCTACCACCCCTGATACTGACCACATGTGCCTTTCCCCAGACCTGGACTTTGCCCCTGGAGTGGGCACCTCCTCTTTCTCCCTGTAAACAGAAATATTTTTGTAAGGTTCTGGGGAAGGGAGGGAGTATGGAGTACAAGAAAAACTTGAATTCCAGATTTTTAATACAAAGTATTTGTCATTTGTACCATAAATAAAAGTTTTAAATTTTTACTTGACACACTAAAAAAAAAAAAGACTCACACTGTCTAGGAAAAAATGCATATTTATACAAAGCCCAATGTTTCAACAGCACATCTCCACTGAATGCCTCTGAAGTTCTCTCAGTCTTCTTTGTCAGTTTTCCCTTCTCCATTGATGCAACTCTTATCTTGCAGATTACAGAGTCACAAATTTTTGGTATTCTCACTTCCTCTTTCTCATATCCCAGATTAAGCTCATTAGGAAGTGCCAGAAAATCCATCGTCAAAATGTATTCAATATCCAAATACTTTCAGTATTTCCACTGCTCAGACTCCAGGGGATATGACTGACACCTCCAGCCTAGGACTGACTAGTTCCCCACAGTTTCCATGCTGCCTTGCTTGTCCTCCTGTCTCAATTCAGTTCTCAGCTCAGCAAAGTGATGCTTTGAAAAGATGCACCAGGTCTGTCTTTGCTTAAAACTGCTTCACTCAATGCAAGATTCCTTTAGTCAACCTCCAGATCTTCAGTGACTTGCTGTGCCTCTGACCTCCTCCCAGTGACAGATCAGGAAGACTCAGATCCTTGCTGTCCCCAGAACACACACAGAGGAGGCTGCCCTGGTGTATTTTCATGAGATCTTCCTCCAAATATTTTCATGAAAAATTCTTTCATGTCCTTTGAATCTTTCCACAAAGCTCATCTTGCTAATAAGTCCCATGCTGAGCACCCTAATAAAACAGCTATCTTCTCTATCCAACACACTCACTCTGATACCTTCCCTGAATCATTCACCACCTCACATGAACACTGTCCTCATTTACTGTGTTTAGAGTGTATCTTCTTCCTCTTTCCTATAGAACACAGGCTCTATAAGGGTGGATGTTTGGGCTTGTTTTCAGTTCCCTTATGTATCCTGGATACAAAATGTGTGTCATCTACTCAGTACTCAACAAATGACAGCTGAATGAATGTTCAGTGTCAGCCCCTCCCTCTTCTAGAGACACCATATTTATTAATGGAGCCTCAGATCAAATGCTGCTGTGGCATCTGCAGCACAAGGCTTCGCACACTGAGGTCAGAGACACTGGGCTTTTCTCACACATGCTGCTCTCCTTTCTCCACACCAGCCCTCCTGCACTCCATAGCACTCACGTGTTTTGATCTTCAGGAAAGATGATCCTTGACTAATGGGTCATAATTTCCAGCTAAAAGAAACCTTTATAAGACTCTGTTTTATCAATCCAGGAATCTGAAATGGAGTAGTAGAGCTCAGCGCAGTGAAACTGCTGAGTAGAGAAGATGGGACACTAGGAGGAATTTATCTAAGATAAAAAATCATGATATTCTTCCTCCCTACTATTATTATAATCTGGTTTCTTTAAAAGTACTGGAGAAATGGTGGAAAATACAATACAGGAAACTGCTCTGAGTTTTGTCTGACAAGGACAGGAAAAAGGAATTTTGCTTCTGTCAAAGATGAGAGACAGCCAGAAGAGAAGGAGACTAGAACTCACACTTAATAACAAGAACAGGGATCATTCTCTGCAGAAACTGAGAAACAAACAAACAAACAAAGATGAGAGAAGGTCAGACTTGTGTTTGAGCATATTCTAACCCCATCTCATGAGCCCCTGTCATCAGAGGTCCTGGTGGGATGAAGTTTAACTGAAGGGACAATGACCAAGGAGCAGGGAAGATGATCCAGCTGAGGAGTGACCACATCCATGCCCAGGACGTACTGAGTGCAGACTGTGCCACCTTCTCCACCCTCAGCTCTTTCAACCCTCTCTTGTCCTCACCTGCAACATCCTCAGCACAGCAAACATGTGGATTCTCAAGGTTTCAGGTTTTATTTTCTCTCAGAAATTTTAGGACTCCTCTTTTCATTTAACTGACCCATCAACCACATTTCACAGCACAAATTTGAAATACAAATCAATACCCAGATTCTGTTTTTCAGTAGGGAAATAAGAAGCTATAGCCCAGGGCAACAAAGCCAAGTGAAGAATGGAGATGTTCCAGCCCCACATCTGGTATACAGGAAAGTTGATTGAAGAAGAGAACAGAAAGGTGTGGGGATGGGTCTTGATACTCCAGGAGAGGTTCTTCTTTCCATTTCCTTACTTCAAGCTGATAAGAACACAGACACATAGATACAATTCGATGCCAGTTGCACAAAAAGTAGTTGGGACTTCTTGAAGTTACAGTAGGGAGCAGGAAGAGAACCAAACAAATCCTATGTCACTTGGCCACACAGAAGCCTGCTTACACTAGAAAATAAAATATTAGGAGCAAATTTATCTCAGTCTTTCTATGTGGAGACACTCTGAATGAACCATTACATGCTCAACATGTCCAAATACAGAGAGGCCTGTAACCCAAGAGTTTCCCCATGCTTCAATTCCATTCCCTCTTCAAGTATTCCAGGTCTCTCCTTTTTAAGCAGCAAGGGACACATCAGAGCCCTAATCACTGTCATTACCCAGGAATAAAAAGTCATACTGGTCAGAGCCCAAGGAGATGTGGCTAATGGAGGAATTATGGGATGGATCAGCTCTCCCATCATTCCCTTCTACACTACCCAGAAGGTCCCAGGGATCATTGTTCGTAAAACTTACGGGCAGCTGGAGCATAGGTCCCTTCTTTTCCATCTGTGGGAAGAAAACATCCTGTGAGAGAGCAGATTGGAGGTAGGTCTTAGAGGTACTCTTATTTTCTGGACCTCAGGAAAGTTTCCAGAACTGTGACTGCAGATGTAGGGAAGGATCAGGAGACAAGAAGAAAGGAGATGGGTAAAGATGGAGCCAACAGCTCTCCTGGGTGTCTGTCCTCAGCAGGGAAATTCCCTGGTGGCCTCCAAATGCTGGAAATCATGTCCCATCATCACAAGTTTCAGGAGAATAAATTTGTCCTATATTTTCTACCTGCTTTACAAAGAATAAACAGGTTCCTAGGCTGAGGAAACATATGTGTGAAGATATTACTTCTCTTTAAAAAGGTAGGGCTTACTTCTCCCAAGTGCTTGAAATCACCAGTGGGAGAAAAATTCAGACCTTGCATTTTCCCTACCTGTGTTTTTCTTCTTCCAAAAAACAAAAGATACCACAGCTCCAATGACAATAGTTCCAAGGACAACCAGACCGGCAACAGTTCCCATGATGGGGATGGTGGACTGAACAGGTGGCTCTGGGAGAGGAAGTGAAGTTATATGAAAGGCCCTGATCTCCAGCTCTCAGTCCCTATCCTGCTGAGGGTCTCTGGAAAGCCTCTTGCTTTCCTGACAACGGGCTCTGTGCCCTCACCCCCTCCTTACCCCATCTCAGAGTGAGGGGCTCAGGCAGCCCTTCATGATGCACATGGCATGTGTATCTCTGCTCCTCTCCAGTAGGCACCTCCACAGTTACCCATTTCTGGAAGTTTCCATCCCCTGAAGGTCTGGTCTCCACAAGTTCCATGTCCTGGGTCTGGTCCTCCCCATCTCGTTGCCAGTTCAGGGTGATCTCCTTAGGGTAGAAGCCCAGGGCCCAGCACTTCAGAATGACATCCCTTTCAGGGCTAGGGTGGTGAGTCACATGTGTCTTTGGGGGATCTGAGTGAAAGAACAAGGAAATTTAGACATTTGGACATTACCTCCAGTTGGCCACCATCCAGAGAATGGTCAGCACAATTAGGGTCTGGGAGGGCGCAAGCACAAAACCTAGACATAAGCTTGGACTCAGTCTTCTGGCATGATGTCCTATTCCTTGCAAAGTTCTAGAATCAGGTTAAGACAACCCATTGTAAGAGGTTACAGGTGTCTCAGAGGAACTTAAGTCTCAGGGTGGGTGGAGACTGAGTAATATAGAAAAGCTGGAGTCAGACCTCCAAAGACACTAGGCTGGAATGGACCTCCAATCTATCCTTGATGCCAAGACTGCTGCCAGAGAACTGTGGTCAGTTATTTATTGTCTTTCCTACCAGCCAGGAGAGAGACTGGATCCTTTACTTGTCCTGAGAGAAAGCAGCCTTTAGTTGTTCTCTAGTAGGATACCTTGGAATCCAGGCAGACCCACTTCATTCTGGACAAGGAACAGGGCAGTGTTCTAGAGTGGGTGCCATCGATCTCCTTGCCTTCTTTTGGGAAGCAGGCGGAGAGATCTACAGGAGCTCAGCCAGGTATCCCGCAGCCCCTCATACCTAAGCGCTGCAGGGTCTCTTTCCTGCTCTCCAGATATCTGAGGAGCTTCTCCACACAGGTGTTTTCCAGGTGGACCCTGTGGAGCTTCATGACACCAGGCGCCTTCCAGTATCGCTGCATGATCTGAGCCACCGAATCTGCCACAGTCCAGGAGCTCAGGTCCTCATTCAGGGCGAAGTAATCCTCCCCATCATATGCCAACCAGTAGAACCTGCGGAGCAGGCACCCATCTTGCCCCACTTCGCAGCCGTAGGTTCTCTGGATGGTGTGAGAGCCTGTGCCCACCCCCACGGTCAGGGGCATCCTCACTCCGACCAACCCGCCTGTTCCCCTCCTCGCCCCCAAATGTAAACAAAACCCGATCACAGTCCCAATGGATGCTTTCTGGGTCAGGGGACTCCATGACTCCCTCAGAATCGGGAATCCCTGTGGACTCAGGACAGGAAGAGATTTAGACCTCAGACAAGGGCCCAGGGCCACTACCGCCCTCGCTCTGGTTGTGGTGGCTCAGCAGGTTGGTCAAGCACGCTTGGAAACTCTTTGCGGAGTCCTTGGAATTCCATGTGTCCCAATGCTTCTGCTCCTCCTGCTCCACCCAGGGCGACCATGGCTTCATCCTCTGGGACTCAGAGTCGCTGTCAAAGTGCTGGAACTGTGTGTCGTCCACGTAGCCCACGGAGACGAGGCGGGGCTCCCCGCGGCCCGGCCGGGACACGGAGGTGTCGAAATACCTCAAGGAGTGGGAGCCTGTAGGCAGGGATACTGAGACCAGGTCCACCCTTCTCCCAGCGCCCTGCTCCAGGATCCAGGAGGAGAGGAATTGGCTCCGGAGAAGCAAAGGTGGTGGGACAAAAGAGAGAAGGATTTAGAGGCTGAGTGAAGAGCCAGGACTAGCTGCACCACACAGGGGACAGTCTGGGACAGGAGCAGGAGACTGGCTTCTCTGGGTGGGAGGAGCAAGGGGACGGTCCTTCCTAGCATAGTCAGGTTCCTTCCTGACCCCGCACTCACCTGCCCAGGTCTCCATCAGGGACACGGTCCCCAGTAGCAGCAGGAGCGGGGTTTGGGGCGCCATCACCTCCAGCCTGCACTTCTGTGGAAGTTCTAAGTCCTGGATGGTGGGTGGGGACTTCAAAACCCAAACCACTGTAATGCTGATTGGCTTCTCTGGGAGCTTAACCGCGCAATAGGAGCGAGACCCGGGGCCACTTCAGGAGTGTCTGGGCAGAATCACCTGGCCCAGGTTGGGAGAGGGAGAAGAGAAACGCCAAGGAGAAGGGGAATCCCCAGAGCTCTGCATCCACACCCCAGACACAGCTCTAAACACTAAGAGCCACGCCCAGGGACCTGGGTCTTCAACCTGACCACTTCTCTTTCACAGAGTGCTCTTTGTCACAAGGTTCCCTGATTCCTGCTTCAGGGAGTTCTAGAATGGTTTGGTTTCAGGATCTTTGTATGCTTCAAAGGTTTATGTGGAGTATGTTTATGTGGAGTATGTTTAACAATTAGAAATTAATTCCATTTTAAAGATGATATTTTATTCATTCAGAGTATTTATAAACAATTGTATGTCAATAGAATAGTTTGAAAGAAAAATAACTGTTTTCCAAAACAAAGATTTAATCAGAAGAGTGGATCTTTTTTTTAATTTTTTACAGTTTTTTTAAATTTTTAAAATTTTTTTATTGGTTGTTCAAAACATTACAAAGCTCTTGACATATCATATTTCATACATTAGATTCAAGTGGGTTATGAACTCCCATTTTTACCCGAAATACAAATTGCAGAATCACATCGGTTACACATCCACATTTTTACATAATGCCCTATTAGTAACTGTTGTATTCTGCTACCTTTCCTATCCTCTACTATCCCCCCTCCCTTTCCCTCCCATCTTCTCTCTCTACCCCATCTACTGTAATTCATTTCTCTCCTTGTTTTTTCTTCCCATTCCCCTCACAACCTCTTATATGTAATTTTGTATAACAATGAGGGTCTCCTTCCATTTCCATGCAATTTCCCTTTTCTCTCCCTTTCCCTCCCACCTCATGTCTCTGTTTAATATTAATCTTTTCCTCCTGCTCTTCCTCCCTGCTCTGTTCTTAGTTGCTCTCATTATATCAAAGAAGACATTTGGCATTTGTTTTTTAGGGATTGGCTAGCTTCACTTAGCATAATCTGCTCTCGTGCCATCCATTTCCCTTCAAATTCCATGATTTTGTCACTTTAGTGCTGCGTAATACTCCATGGTGTATAAATGCCATATTTTTTTTTTATCCATTCATCTATTGAAGGGCATCTGGGTTGGTTCCACAGTCTAGCTATTGTTTTTTTACAGTTTTAAATGTCTTTTTGATTTGTCTTTTTTTAGAAAACTGCTACATGTTCATATCTTCTGCATTTAATGATTTTGTTTGAAACAAAAAATGCAGCCTTGAACTAATATGTGAGAGGAATCTTTTTAAATAACGTTTTAGGCGACTCTGGATCTTCATCTTTGATACCACACTATATTGGTATATATGTCAGGTTCTTAAAAGTTCTTTGCCATATGGACCCTGAAACATAATCTTTGAATAGTTCATATTTTGCTGCATGAAATGCTGTGGGTGTGTCTTGTGTAATGAATTACTCTTGTACTAATGCATGATATTTTTTTAAGTCATGCATTATTCTATAAATTATATAGACCTTCTAGTGTACATACATTACAGTGCAACTAATCAAGAGGTCACATGTTGATAATACCACAGATTTCACCAGAAAGTATTATAAGCATTGAGGTCTCTGTCAAGTTCATAATGGTAGATTCAGATTTTCACAGATTCTGATTTCCTTCTAAGACTATACATTTTATCATTGAAAATATTATTGTTAGTGGACAATCTAGAAGAGACAGGCTCAGGTCATTTTTTAGAATGTTGGTCACATTTTGAAGTCCAAGGAATGGTTTCTCTGTTATTCATTCTATGTAGCAGAAATGGTATCCCATAAAAATGGGGCTAGTACAACTCACCAAATAGTTTTTGTTGACACAGACACCCTACTTTGCAATGTAGCAGAAGTGTTTTATTTGTACTTCCCATTCTATTAAATAAATATTTTTGTAATGTGAACTCGAATGGAAATTTAATAAAGTTAATAATTTTTATTTCTTCAAACAGAACATATTCAAGTGAACTGGCATTTTCCCTTGTGCAGTTAAAACATGCTCAGAAATACAATAAATACTATTGCAGTTTTGTACCTTGGTTTCTATCTTGACAAGTTTTATTTCAGTGTAAGTAATGTTTTAGTGACAATATAAAAATAGTTTTTAATCATATGAATCATATGCAAAGATTTGAATACCTCCAAGGACTCCACAGTCACACTTTGAGAACTGCTGGTCCCAACTTCTTTGCTTGATCCACTACAACTATTCTCAATAATTGCTATAACATGTAAAATATATGATATTTTGAACAAAGAGTGGACTTATGCACAATTATATACAGAAAAAAGAAGTTTTTAGAAATTAAATACTGATCATATACATGATAAATCTATAGATGATTTCGATGACTAAAAGCTGTATCAGAAAAGAAGTTATACAATAGAAAAAGTAATGGTAAGGAAAACAGAAGAACTCTAAGAGCATTAGCTATCAATAAAGGATGTGCCAAAACTGAATAATAGGAATTCCACAATGAAAGCATCAGATAAAGAAAGTAAAGCAGGTTGCCTCTAGGAATCAGAAAATAGGGCTTTGGGAGATTGGGATAATTTGTATTTTTACCAAGCCTTGTAGAAATATTTTAAATTTCAAATACATCCATGGTTCTACTAGAAAAATTAAAATTCAGTGTTTAAAAAGACAACGTGAGAGAATAGACTCAGGTATCACTCTGTGAGGTATATCATAGGAATGGGCAATGCTCAGCATTGTGGGGTATACCTATAATCCCAGTGGCTTGGGAGGCTGAGGCAGGAGGATTCCAAGTTCAAAGCCAGACTCAGCAACTTATTGAGTCCCTAAACAAGTTAGAGAGATGCTTTCTCAAAATGAAGAAAAAAAAGGGCTGTGGATGTGCCTCAGTGGCCCTTGAGTTCAATCTCTAATACAAAAATTAAAACTAAATGAGGCAGTATTTAGAGGAAGATGGTGGAATCTGATGGTCATCATTATACAAAATACATGTATGAGGACTTGAATTGGGTGTCAACATACCTTATTTACAAACAGAGATAAGAAAAATTGTGGTATATATGTGCATTAAGAATTGAATTGCAAAAAAATGTACATGTATAATGGCATAAATTGGTGTGAACATACTTTATATACAGAGATATGAAAAATTGTGCTCTATACGTGTAATAAAAATTGTAATGCATTCCACTGTTGTCATGTATTTTTAAAAAATAAATAATAATTAAAAATTAAAATAAATGAGGCAGTAATCAGAGGAAGACATATGATCAGGTGGTAGATTTTTAGGAAGGGATTTTGTTTTATTTACTGAGTTTATCTGTGTTTCTTCTAATGGGAAATATTGCATTATAATTGAATGCAAGAATTAATTTGCCCAGAGAGTTAGAAGGTGATGATGCAGGGTAGGGAGGGGCCAATCTTGTTCCCAAATGCAGGGGTGGCCTTAGACAGCAACAGACCATCCATTATCACTGGTGTGAAGATGGAGGAGACAGTTTCAGCTGTGGTGAGGGATTATGAGGCAGTTCTTACTTGAGTTCTACTTTTTTTCCAAGTGAAAAGAGAAAGTTCATCCTCTGGGATAAGAAGTGGGGAAATAGTACTGGGGTGTGAGAAGGGAGGAGAAGCAGAGAAATTGTCCCCTCAGAGGACCAGAGAACCACTGACCTGGGAAATGGCATTGGAAGAGGGCAATGCTGGGACCACTGAAGCTTGTATTCATTATATGAAGGAAAGAGAGAGAGGTAAAGAGAAAGTGCAGCATTCAGGCTGTAGGAGGAGCATGATAAGAGACTAGAAAGAAATAGAATAAAAATTTTCTGGTCTAAATGTACAAATTATTTTTAACTTGTCATTTATCCTGTCGGAATTTTATAATTTTCTGTATTAAATATATATTATGGTGATACATCCACCCAATAGGAATACTTTTGAAGAAATGTGTTCTTATTCTATGAAGTCAGTATCACTCTGATACCAAAACAAAGACACATCAAGAAAACAAAACTATACATCAATATGCTTGATGAACATAGATGCAAAAATCCTTAATACAATATTAGCAATCTGTATTAAAAAACACATTGAGAAAAATGTACACCATAATCAAGTGCACTCCATCAAGAATGGCAAGTTTTGTTCAACATATGAAAATTAATAAATACAATACATCACATAAGTAGAACTAAAGAGAAAGATCACATGATTATCTTAGTAGATTCAGAAAAAAAAAACCTTCAACAGAATCCAGTGCCCATTCATGTTAAAAACACTGAAGAAACTAAGGATTAAGGAACTTAAAGGGACTTGCTGAGGTAAGTTACTTGTATATATGTCAAACCCAAAGCCAACGTCATAGTAAGTGGTGAAAAACTAAAAGTGTTTTAGACAAGGATGTTCAAGGATGTTCATTCGTGTTCAATAGGGATGTTCATCCCTATTCAAGGTTGTACTTAAAACTCTAGCCAGAGCTATTAGGCAAGAGACATAATTTAAAGGAACACAAATAAGAAAAGGAGTCAAATAATGTCTATTTGCTGATGATTTGATTCTATACTTGCAAGATGCAAAACACCACATTTCCAGAGCTGATAACTTTAGCTAAGTGTCAAGATAAAAGATTGACATACAAAAATCAATATATTCCAATATATTAACAATGAATCTGCAGAGGAATAAATCAGGATAACAATTTCACTCAAAATAGCCTGAAAAAACAAACAAACAAACCTGAGAGAACATCTAAACAAGAAGGTGAGAGATGTCTTGAAATATTAGTGCTCAAAAGTCTTTGGAGGGCTATGGATGTGGCTCAATGGTAGTGTGCTGGCATAGCATGCAAGAAACCCAGGGTTCCATCCTCAACATGGCCTCCCCAAAAGAAAACAATG